TAGTAGCATCAACTCTTCAAAACGTCAACTATCTATATATCATAACCTTTCAACTACCATAAGATATGAGTTGCCAAGAAACCTATACATTCAAAAATACCATCTAAGAAGGCAAAAGCATTCCACCAGGTAGATATTTGTGCCTATGTAACTGTAATATAGACTAAAAGGAACTGAAACTCAAATCAAATTATTATTAGAGTAATATTTATCCCTGTAAAACATGTCTGGATTCTCAAAAATCTTTATCGTTGAAAACCATCATTGCTCATATACAAGTTAACTTCTGCTTTCAAGGGGATTTTTATTCAACTGTTATCAGAGAAACTAATACAATTAGCCTCATATTTCATCACTAACCTTGATCTTTGTACTTGTTATAGAGAGAGCTCTGAGTAGTTTGATGTTGCCAAACCAGTGAAAACCCACGTCAATTCCAAGTCAGAAAGGCATAAATCACCTTAATTGCAGTAATATTATGAGAATCATAGAAGCGAAAACTACCATTGTGATGTAACATTAACAATTAACAAAACCTTTCCCTTGTGTTTGGAAAGAGGAACATCATTTCAATCTTATCCTACATCAAAGAACCACCTTATCAACAAAGAATTTACAAGATTCAATTGATTAAACAAACATAGAGGCTTTAATTAAGTGTGCCTTTACAGTAAAATCATAAATGATAGAGGTAATTTCGACTTTTAGCTTTGGCTTCTCTTCATCCTTCGCTCCTTAGATGCCTTCTTAAAAATGATAAAAAAAAACTTGTTCATATATAAACTTTAAAACATCAAATTTCACCCTCAAAATATGATCATATTCTTTACCAAAAATCATGACATACTCTGATTCCATTTAATATGGTTTTGAGAGAGTGAGAGTGAGAGAAGAGGAGAGTGTCAAATTAGTAGGATCGGGGTTTTTCCGTGTGAGACATGTATAAGTGTTCAAATAAAGCATTAAGGTAAACAAAACAGATTAAATGCAATAAAAAGCAATGTACTATCAATTATTTGTTTTTATGGCATCCCATTTATTTTTATTTCCTATTATGGCATCCTACTTCCACAAACAAATGTGTGGAAATGGATTACACACATACACAGTCATATATATATATATATATATATATATATATATATATATATATA